CATTTATGGCTAACGATAAAAATTTTGGCCATTTTACCGCTAACGGTTAATAACCTCCATTATTATACATTAAACTTACTATGAAAACTCTAATTGGACGACAGCATACATTCAATTTACAATGACGAATGAAGTTGACATTATCATGTCGATTTCAAAGTCTGCCTTGCTTCTAAGCCCGTCGTCCGCGTTGTGTTCTCACACGTATGACACACCCAGAGAAAAGTGTTTTCTTTTTCAGATTGTTTAAAAAAATGTAAAATAAAACAATTATTTCAACAGTTAAAGTTTCTTTACGACTAACGATTAGAGTTTGTCAATATTTACGCCTATTTTTAAGGCTAAACTTTTTGGCCGCTTTACGGCTAACAGTTATCCCTATAGAGATCCTTTTCTAGGTGCAAAAATTGTAAAATTATAGGAAACTTTTATATACCTCAGCTCCACGGTAGATGAAATTCACTCTCGGTTTTAAATCATCCGGATGTTGTATGTCTGTCGAATTGTTTAATTCACAGACTTCATTTCCTGCTACTCTCTTTCCAAAGTTGTACGATACGCATGCGTTCTCCAGATAACACTGAACTCTGCACGAATGCTCAGAGTTTAAGGCAATTGTTCTTATGATGTGTTTTTCCAGCGCTGAGCCATCTTTAGCTTCCAAAAACTGCAGTATTCGGCAATCATCTGCAATAAATAGTATGTTTTGAAAATAAGACTTCGATAAGATCTCGCTATCAATTATTTAACGGTAGGTTGTTTCGTCATGTTATAAATTATAACAGGATGTTATTTCAAAAATTTGGAAGAAAAAACGGACTGAGAAAACACATCGGCTGAGATACGCACTGAAGGCAGACGCCACACTTAAGAAAATTATCTCCGAAAGCCATCAGGGTTTTTTTAATTTTGAGAAACTGCTTTCCTGATGAAAACTGGAATTCGACTTATTGACATTTGAAAGGACCAAAATTATCATGAGAGTGACGTTCATCAATGAATGAGCTAAAACAATTAAGCAGGCCCGACCCGCTAATCTAACCACGATTATCAATAAGACATATTATATCCATACTTTTAATAGTGGAAATTCGAATTGGGGGAAAAAACTTCCTTTTTTTAAGCCTTAATTTCTTATCACATAATTTATGTCAACAATTCATACGATTTCAAATTTAAAGCGTCATGACAAACCAACCATCCTTCATAAGAACAGATGAAATGTAAATTCTGCTTCAGCTACTCGACAAACGACAAATCATTTCCGCATTATTTACGGAAGAAGATAGTAGCTCTCCAAAGAGGCAGGGAGGTGTTTACTAACTCGCTTTTTCGTGTGTATTTCTAACAGACGCAGGGGTAAGCGCGAACACCATACCCGACACAATTGTATAATTTTCTCAATAATAGCAAAAAGGATTTATCTTTTGGTCACTCGGCAAAGGAGGAACGAAGAATAACGCATTGATCATTGAAATGTTTCTTTATGAAAACAGGACCAAACGTACAGAACAAATCTTTAACTTAGAGAAGCATTTCGCTGATACAATCTATTTTTAAACTCACCTTCCGAAAGAACCACATAAACTGCAATCGTGAATAAAAAAAAAATGTTGATCAGTTGTTCCACCATAAGGAAAGATATCACTCCAAGTATCAACAATAAAACTGTTTTACAGAGTTCCTCATTGGCTTGAATTCTTTCTTGACAAAATACGAGCAGAACAGTTTGCCTCTCCAATATAAGTCCCTTTGCAATCACTGAGGATATGTCGTGATGAAAATAGAAATGACGTCACGTTTTCAGTGTTTATTAACGTTAATCGATGTTTGTTATCCTGGTGGGAGTTTCGCAATTGAATGGTAGCTTACGATATTGTTATCACAAATATCACAAAATGAAGAGAAAATTCTATTAAAGCCACAAAATGACTTTTGGAGGTTAAT